CAACCCACAACCCCTCCTCATCATCATCATCATCACCCCCTCCCTCCTCATCCGAACCCACCATCAACAGGGGGAGAAAAAAACTTGCACACTCTGAGAAGCTCAACTGTGCATGCACTTTTTTTTTTATTTGGTGCTTGTAGACGTTATGGGAAAGTTGTGTCTCTCCCTCTCCCCATCCCTCCCTCTTTCTCCTTCTCTTCGTCTGTCATGTGCGTGGGATGCTCATGCTTTGCACAGAGCAGCTGTAGCACGCCGAATACAGGCTAGAGTGTTAGCGGCAATTTTAAAGTCCCCCCCTCCCCTCCCTTCCGCCCCCCCACCCACCAAATAATACGGCTGGGATATTTGAAGGGAACATACACCATATCACGGTACACTCGGACCCCGTTGTTCTTCACCGGGTTGGGACGGCTTCTGGTCTGATTGTGACTCGCCATTAGGAAGTAAGTGCAACTTGTGTGTCTGATTTAAAGATTTCCTTGTGCGCAAAAGTTGAATCTAGATTATCGTTTAAAAACATGCGCTGCTGTTTTCTTAAAATACGTCGCTGAATGATGTCTCGCAATTGCGTTACACTTTCAGGAAAGAAATGTGAAGTTTGTGGCTTTTAACCTTTTTTGCACAGTTTGGAAATAAGACACTGATTGGCAGCCTTTAGATGCATTCAGATCCTAAGTTAGGCTTTATTCTCACAAAGAATAGTTTAATGCTATTAACTTTAAGAGCGTCTTCACTCTTTCATTTCAGCCTTCTGCAATTAAGTCATCTTTAAAGATTGTCAGCAGTGTTACTAGAGTAAAGGGTGCGTCAGAGATAATCTTCTTTCGTCCTCTCTGGTTATGAAAAACAGCCGAGCATAAAAAGAAGTGCTGTCCAAAATTTGACATTATTATTACACCCACATAAGGCATACTTCAGCGCCAATGAATCCACCGTGTTTGGGTTTTGTTTGTGTGGACTGGATGCAGTGAGAGAAGTGTGATTTCGAGAGCGATGTGTTTGATAAAAGAAAGGAGAACAAGGACGGACTCATTTAGGAACAGAAACAGATCCAATCGCATATTTTTTCATGTTTGTTGAAGGACCTGAAATGTCTTGGTACAAAAGACACAAAAAACACAAAAAAAGTTTGACTTTACTCTGAATGAATAACGTCACCAAAATCGTCACACACCGTCTTAAAAACAAAGCGTTCGTTGTACAGTTTTACTTATGTAGGTGTTATTACGCATGAATGCGTCGTATGTTCGAATAAAGCTGATACTGCAAAGAGAACTGCACCCTTCTGAAATGTTTGGCTTCTCGGCATTGTGTCTTTAACTTTCGCGGAAATGCAGCTTCTTGTAATTGCACAAGGATCAGCAGGTCTTACCTCTGAAAAACGGTGAGCTGTAATGAGAGCGTGGTCTCTGTGTGGAGGCCCATTCTGAACCCCTCTTTACCTTAATCAGGTGTGCTTTATATCGAAAACCGCAATGATATGCAGTTAGTCACCCAACAGATCAACAGAATGACAGGATGATTTTTGGATGTGGTGAAGCTTACGGTGCATTAAAGGAAATAAAGACATTAACAATGTGTGCGTAAATTATATAATTTGGGGGCATTTTCCATTGTGCGGAGATCGCATTTGGGCAAATTCGGATATATCACGTTGCGAGTGGAATATGTTGTTTGGAAATGGACAGCTGAGATTCGCAAATATGAATTTACTAGATGTGACTGTGAACGTTTGAAGGAGCAAAGTGTGTAGAGTAATCCCCCATTGAAATGCACAGGCCCTGTGACTCATATTTGCTCATTAAAACACCTCTGCTTTGCCCCTCCCATCCACGAAACGAGAGTACACTTGAGGGCCAGGTCTAAAACTGTAGCAAGTGAATGGAACACCTGAAGAAGAGGAGAAAAAAAAGTTAATGTGCCATTGACAAATAACTGGATGTTAATTTATCACCGATATGCACGCATGAACCGACTCAGCCAAGGTGTGAGATTGACCTTTTTAATTTTATTTTATTGTGAGCTGAGAGCCTTTCGCAGTTCGAACAGAATCAAAGTTCTGCACAGGATACAAGAAATGCACTCGATAACCTGCAGCTGCATGCTCCTGCGCATGATCCATCACATGTTCCATGTGCGTGTTATTGTTGACACACTTACAGAGCCCCTATATTTTTGACCTATTTGTGCCGAGCTATCAGTTAACTACTTGCATTTCTACGGAAAAAGTGAGCGGGTTAACATCCTCGCGGAAAAGCGCTGGGGTCTCATTCCGCGGGAGGCGACACCGGCAGCCTACCTGAATGCCATTGTAGTCTGCCCATCTGATTGCGACGATGGCAAAAAGACAAAAACAACAACAACAACAACAACACACAAGCGGCTATTAAGGATTTCGACGCAAAGATCGAGCACGTGAGAGCAATTTGACTCCTGTTGTACAGATGTGTCTCGTGTGAGGAGCAGAGCAGTGAGCAAACGGGTACCGTGTTATTGCGAATAGAAAAATACAGCCTAGACAGGAAGACGCTGGCGCTCAAGCAGCGCAGCGATGCTCTCCTCACAAAGTTGTTTCGTTTTTATTGTTTAATAGCTGCAATTTCTGCTCGCGTCTCCCACTAAAAGCAGTAGAATCGCTCTCATTCTCTGTAAAAAAAAAACAACCCACATATGGTTCCCTCTGCGATCCATTTTCATCCCTGTGTGAGAGAGGGTGTGCAGACTGCTCGCTGCAAGGCGGACTTACTCCAACGCGCTCTGTGTAATGGATGAAGATTGAGCATTGATATGAGGCTGCATTTGCGATTTTTTTATGACATCACCGGAGTTACTTTGTCGTGGTCTGAGGCCTTTGACCTCACTGGGGTTGGTCCATATTTTGGCCACCCCCAGCCCCTTATCCTTTGGGGATGGCCCTTATCCCCCCCTTTTCAGACTGATCGACCATGCAAGCCTGCAGAACGGACCCTTTGGCTCATAGTCATCGGTTTTTATCTTTCCTTAAGTACACATTGGATGCGAGCGGACAACTTGACACTCTGGCCAAAAAAGAAAGAAAGAAAAAAAAACAAGCTCCTGTCTTCATAATCCGAAACATTTGCGTCGTAATTCCCTCTGCTGTTATTGCACTTTCCACAGGAAACAGGATTTCCCACCTTCTCTGCCGCGTTTCTTCTCCACTGGCCTCGCAGGATATCTATTGCCACTGCCACAACGACTTAATAGAGGCGAAAGAGCCTTTTGTGGGATTGAAGCTATTTGCATTGCAAATGATGGCCCCCGTGCAAGGATGACTACACCTTACCGCGATTTTGAAGGCCCTCTTCAGCTCAGTAATACTGGTTAATGTCAAGTGAATATGACATTAACACTGGGAATATATATCTTTTTTTTTTCTTTTACACCAGGTGTCTAACAGTTCGGGCTGTACTATGGTCCCCTCAGCGACAAAAATAAGGGAATATAAGGGATATAATGCACAATGTGACTTGAAGCAGGAAACTGATGACTTTTTCCCCCACCGCTATGTATATTTGAGTTCTGAGAGATGGAAACTTGGAGACCAGAAGATGAAATACACATGTGGATTATTGCTGAAGATTGGGAAGTGGGTTGTTATCTTTGGTTATCTAGCTGTATGAGTGTTCTGCTCGTCATAAAGCTAGATAACCGAAAGTAAAAACTACTTCCAGACTCGTCGAGGACTTTTGGACCACCTATTCCTACTCAGTTTCCCCATGGACCTGAGACTGTAGATGTGATTCATCTAAATGGGTTTATTTTTGTTCTTTTATTTATTATTATTTTTGTATCCCTCCCTCCCCTTACACACGTGCAAGCTTATCC